TTAATCTTTAATAACGTAAGACGAAATTTTTTTCAGTAACCGTTTCTAATTTTTCTGCATAGGTATTGGTCGAAGCATACAACACTGTAGAGGCACTGATTGTTTTTGAAACACCTATGACAATTTTATTTTGAATCAATACACCAACACACTAACAGAAATAATCCTCTTCGAAGCAATATAGAGCAGTGATCCCTTAAATGAGCATAACATGCGAATTCGAGGTGCCCCGATTCACATATGTGATGTGTTCCTATTTTTGTCCACTCCCTACCAACTCACCCACCCACTTATTTACCTACGAATAATGAATATTGTCATAGAAATAAGGAAAAACCAACTTTCGGCGCCTCTGAGAGTAAACATAGATTGTAAATACAAAATGATAGTTATTTTCTAAGTTATCGATCAATATTAAGGTGATATATAGCACACTAAGTATGTCAAAAGACTTAAATAGCTATGATGCCATATTTTTCAGAAAACAGTTACCGTTTTTTCACCAATCTACTTCTTATGACTTTTAATAACAGATTGATATTAAGTTCCTCTAGATTATATAATGTTTCTTTATTAATTTATTATAATATTTATTTTTCCAAAATATTAATCCATTTCTTCTATCCATATGTATATGTTTATAGCTATCAAAAAAAAAAAAGAGGAAGACCCTGAAAAAGGCCTCTTTAAAAAAGTAAAAACTAATGATAAACGTAAGTGATTAATATTTAATAATTAATTTATAATTAATATATTTCATTAATGGTTATAGGTTGTGACTATGAAATAAATGATCCATCTATTGGTTAATGTATACATTATTAGTTTAAAATGTTAAATGTTTAATGAATAAAATATGCCCCAGTTGGCGCGCAAAATACCCGTTGTGCCCCGATTAACAGCAGTTGATTTCCCTTAATTATCGACAGGAATTATTATGGCGTTGAAATCTATGGCGTAAATGTCAATGGTTGTAAAAATATGAACTTCAAACGCTCATTAAAATTTTTTTGTGGGTTTACACTTAACTTTTTTTTTGATTTCAATGAACAACAATTTACGTGAAATATTGTATTACATTTTCATGTTTTTTGACTGATTAAATTTTTTTTTATCGAAGTTAATTTAAAAAAAAAAATTATTTATATGCTCATAAAAAGCTCAAAACATTTTGAAAATTGTATGGTGTATAGAAAATTCAAATCTATACATTCGGTGGAAATTGTATGAATTCGGTTTTTTTTAATTACTCCAAAAAACAAAATCAATTTTGTCGAAATCTTATTTTAATTATTTTAATTATTTTTCTTCTGTTTTGACACTTCACAATGTTGGACATTTTTCCGAGTAAATAGAAAAAGTATCTGAAACGTCTTAAACAGCGATGAAGCAATTAAGTATACACTACATAAATGAATAAATATTGTAAATAATATCTAGTTTATACTCAGTTTTCTAACCTAACCTAATCTAATTCAACAATTTATAATTTTTCTGCATATTGATCGAAGTGTATAAAACTGCAGTGTCGCCGATTGATTTTGAAACGTTTATGACAATTTTATTTTGAGTCAATACATCAACCCACTAACGAAAATAATCGTCTCCGAAACAATATACAGCAACGATCCCTTAAATGTGCACAACAAGCTAACTCGAGAGGCCCCACTGTACATATATAACTATTATTTTCACACTATACCCACCCATTCATTTACCTATGCATATTGTCAAAGGCAAAACCAACTTTAGGTGCCTCTGTACAAAAGTTGATATAAAGTTTTTCAGATTATAATTTGTTACTTTATAAATTTATTAAAATATTTCTTTTTCTTAAATATTAATCTATATATACCATTTATTTGTATATGTTTTAGCTGCCAAAGAAAAATAGGAAGGCCCTGAAAGAGGCTTAATTAGAAAAGTAGTTATCTACATCTATGAAAAAAACATTAATAATTAATTAAAAAATATATGTCATTAATAATGCTCAAGTGTTGTGAATATGGAATAAATGATCCATCAATTGGTTAATGTACACGCATTATTTGTTTGAATGTTTAATAAATGAAATATTGTGTCAAATCTACAAAATGTCTTCGATATAAGTATACGCCTATTATCTTTCAAGTCAACCTACACGCACCTAAGTCAACTGTCGAGAGAGAAATCGACAACACGGTAATTGCTATTCAGTAAGTCGATTAACAGATGTTTCACATAAAACCACCAAACGTCCAGTGGCGGCTCGTAGTTTGTGGGGCACACGGGCAAGTGCTTTACCCAAAATATTGAAAAATTAATACATTTATTTAAGAATTTATATAAAATTAAAATGTATAATGTGTCACAGTTTACAATGTATAATATTTCCATAGTGTTATCAAAATATTTAGTTTGTATATATGACGATATTATCCTACTAAAAAAATGCGATCGAATGTTGGCGTTGTTGTCTACAAACACACATCTATAGACCTTGTATTACTACTAGACAAGCGATGAGTGTATGGAAAGCGTAACAACATAGACGGCGATTTTTGATCACTCGATTACTCTTACGCACTTTAGTGAGGGGTTGTAGGGCAATATAGACTTACAGATTTTTGTATTCTTTCGTATTAAGTCTATATCACTGCGAGATGTTGGTCATGCTGCTGTGTTACACAGTTCTTGTCTAGCAGTACAAGTATATACATGTGTTACACCGATTTTAATGCTGTTTTTTTTTTATCGCAGATAAAAGACATCTAAAAAGTTAGTGTATAATTGGTTGTTCTCTCAAATAATTTAAAATATTTTTAAATCTACTGCTGTATTTAATTTGATTACTATTTATATATACTTGTTTCCTTTTGTTTTTACTATAAATTTGTTATATACTTATATATGTTTATAATTATTTAGTAAGACTGTATTACACTCTATCTCTAACACAAGCTTTTAGCTTAAAAGAGATAGATAATCATAAATAATTTTTATAATTAAATTTTTGTAAATTATGATGATTTCAATAAAAAAAAAAAAAATAGATAATAAACTAAATCGCTGGATGATAACGGCGGGCAATTAAAAAAATGCCTTGTTGTTTGTGGGCAAGATGTATGCGATGTTATTATCCGGCACACCTAATTTATCATTTTTTATGGACTTGATAAAATACCGTTAGCAAACAATCTTCGTGTTGAAAAAGTGGTGTCACTCGTCCTGCTTGTCAGTGTATATAGCAGTTATACCGATCTAGTTTATTATCTATATCTGTAGTTGCCGTACACGGTTCTTTTCTAGTAGTTTAAGGTCTATGGCCACTACACGCATATATACGTAGTACGCGAGCACCAGGTGTCGGTCTCATTATTCATTGAACCCCGATTAACAGCAATAGATTCACCCCACTTATCGACGGAAATTATTATGGAATTGTTCGGCAAAAACGCGTTGACCTTCTCATTTTTGAAAAAAATTATTTTATGCAAGCCATTGAAAAACATTAAACTACAAACAAATGTCAACTAAGATCATAACATTTTAGTGGATTTTTTATGCTTTGACCCCCTGATTCCTTATGAATCATTTACTAATAATATGCACTAATCCCTGTGAATAGTTTTTCTGGTTTAAGAATCTGGTGATTAAAACTATTCTCTTATTGTTTTATTTTTATTTTGCTTCTTTAATTGCGTTTGTCTGGGTTCGCCCCCCCCCTTCAATTTTGTTTATCACTAATTTATGTCTCGTTAATTTTTTTCACTTTACCTAGCTAAGTATACTTATATAAGAACGTATAACGTAGTACGTATTATACTAGCTATGAGCTGTACAGGTAATAATTACGATTATTGAACATTACAGTAATGTACTTGTTTTGCCTATACAATACGCCGGACAACACATTATGTATACTATTTGATCACTCGGGTGATAGGGTAAGATACTTAGATATTTCAATGATTGTATACTGTCGTAAATACAGCCTACATCACTGCCAGATGTTTAAACGCCATTTGCAATGCTCTTGTTATGCACGGCTGGTTTTTGTCTGGTAGTGTAAGGTCAATGGTTTTCCACTTTTCCCTTCAGGCGTTTTTTGTATGTATTGAGTTGGATTCAGACAGTGACGTTTTTCGCCGGCCGGTCAGTTCTCCATCGCCAGAACGCCGGAATATTAACTGTGCTAGGAGGAACACGGTGGCAAAACCCAATCATCTGATTTGATCCCGTCGAGTAAGCCAGCTAACACTTTTCGATCGCAACCGCCGAGCCCATAAATCCGTTTAACGCGCCTAAAAGAGTTTCGCTTCAAAAAGTATTTAGCTGTAGCTGACCAAATTTATTTCAATAATTTCTAGTTTATTACAATTTAAAACTATTAGTAAGTTCGCCAAACTTTAGAAAGCCGTAGTTAATTTTTTTTTTTTAAATTATTTTGACTAAGTAAAGTTTCACTGACATATGCCACCTTAACTTATTGTTGATTTAGTACATTTTTTTTTTTTTTTTTTGATAACAATTAATAATAATTAGTAATAAATATTAGTAATAAAAGATACTATCGGCTACGTTTTAAAGTATTTACAATCAGAGGAAAGTTAAAATTAAATTAGAATTAAATAAATAATAGTTATAACAACAGGTCGTGTGGGCGTCCCCGCTTGAGGTGGCGTACAGAAGGTGGGTCATCACTTAGTTTATACAATTTCCCACTGTGAGCAGAAGAAAGCCGTAGTTAATAAAGTAGTGAACGACAATTAATTAATCGACGTTTTCATGAAAAAATCACTACCGAGTATCGGAATCGAAACATAGTTGTTACCAATTGAAATAAACTAAGTTAATTTTTCAGTTGGTACATCAGCGTAACCTGTGTACAGTCTGATCTCTGATATCAGGGAATAAGTTATAAGTTATTTACCTTGCCGTCATCATGACATCACGAGCAATTGTCCACACACAACAAATATATATATATAGGGTACAAATAATGTTTGCAACACAATAAAATATGATCTGCAGAAGTCAGTTTATTGTTGTTCCTTATTATTCACCATTATTGTGAATGTATCAATAGACATTTATTAATTATAATGTACACCTATTGAGTGGAGTCGAAACATTTCGCGCGTGGAAGGCTGCAGCAAAAATCTCGCCTTATGGATATTCGAAAAATTTTGTATGAATTACAAAATAATCGAGTGCTGTGGTCAAATTCTCCGAGGGATGGACCCGTGTTTGCTTCGACTCGGCTGAGTCCTGATCACTCGCGTGCTATTCTGCGCGCGTTTGGCGCCGACTCTGCCGCGACTTGCACCTTGTTCGCCCGCTTCGAGCTGCATTTCTAATTTCTCGATTTTTTTCGTCGTCTTTGCTGACGGGTTGGTGATGAGATGATTGGCAAAGAACAGCGACATGATGGATATCATAGTGCCGCATAACACGATGCCGATGATCTGGATCATCGTAAACCCTACGACATAGCATATATGGATAAGAACACGCGATGGTGCATTAAGTATAAAAGATATTACTCGTCCAAAACATGTTTGTTGGAAAAACAGTACCCAACCACTATTACCACTTGCAGGGTCTGGGAGGGGGCAATGTAATCATTAATCCTAGTATTCATGTTTTGTAATGAAGAAAAAATACGAAAAAAATTTTATTATTGTCTGGAAATTCGTTATTTCTATGTTGAATAATATTCTTGGTAAAAGCGATATCGGAAAAATATAGAATTTATAGTATCACAATCAGAGCTTTCCCGTTTTCGTATTGAAAATGTGGTTTCTTGTCTAAACAGTAGTTAACTTGACACAGCCACTTTATAGCTGCAGACAGCTGTGTCTATTCTTCTTTGGTATTCTTTCCCCGCCAGTGTTATTAATATGTAGTAAGGTATAATTTGACGTATACCTTCGGGTTTCCGCAACAGGACGGTCGTGCTGACTTCTTCGGATCCGGAAGAGTCCAGGATTTTCACAGCGCACGTCCAGTTTCCGTAGTCGGAATCATCAACGCGGTCGACAGACAAACCGCAGTGGCCGGCCGTCAGTCCTTGGCCAGAGTAGGCGTACCTGGGCGGTGGCCGCGCATCCGATTTCTCGTCCACGGCGAATCCGAGAAGACGTGGCGTGAGAAACCGGCAGTAGGCTATGGGCTGCTTCTCGACTGTGTCGCATCCCAGGGTTACCCGGGTGCCCTCGGTCGCGTACAATTCTTCCTGGCGTGCCGCGATCACTGACTCTGCTCAAACAGGATTCAAAACAAACTTCACATGTGTATAAAAAAACTAGTGTTCGATTTGGAAAAAAATATTACTGGCGAAGACTTAGCGGTCGTTGGATGAAAGAGCGTTACACACAAAATTAATCGTCACATTGCCGCCTGAGCTTCGCCCCCCCCCCCATCCCCATCCAGCACCAAAAACACCAAAATAATATTAAATTTGTTCTTGGTACAAATATAATATATGTATAAAAAAAGAAAAAATACAATTATTAATTAATTTAAAAAAAAAAAAATATAAGAGTGGTCAATTTTTAATAAATTATGCATTAAACAAGGTCCAAAGATATTGATATGTACTATCTTGCATACTAAAATTTCTTATCACTGTATTTTATAGATGTTTAGGAATTTCATCAATAATTTTTTTTTACACAGGTAAAAATATTATAGCTATTAGATTTTGCATGAGAAAAACCGACAATATTTACTAATTCACTGGTAAATGTTGCGTTCTGTTTCAAAAAAATAGAAGGGGTATACGCTCAAAAAAAAAAAAGAAAAAGAAAGGGTACTCAGTCCCTCCACGTTATCCTCAAATCAACCACTGTATTAATCTCACTTATTGTACCGAGTGTGATGATGACGATTCCGAGAAAACCCACCAACAGTCTTATACAAACTACACGACGTTTGAGAGAAGGGATTTCGAATTTTATGCAGACATATGCAGTTGCATTGACCCCACAGTTGCTGTGGTGTACTGACGGGGACCGGGGGGGGGGGGAGAGGAGGCTATTATATATCATCAGTTCATAATACACGCGTACCGGAAACCGTGACGTCCACCGTTCCGTACATTTCACGGCGGTCGTCCCGCAGGCCCAAGGCGCAAAGCCAGGCACCCGTGTCCAACGTGGACGCGTCGTCGATGGCCACGTGACATTGGCCGAACGACAATCCTTCGCCCGTGTACCGGTACCGAGTCCCGACCCTCTTCCAGTCGCCGGCCTCGGTGCTGTCCGGAACAGTGACCGGGATAGCAGTGCCGTTCGGGTGCCGCAACCAGCAATAGTCGATCTCTGAATGCACACTGCACTCCACATGAAAAGTGTTGCCTTTGGGCACCATCACAGAACTTCCGGCTGTCACCGTGAGCGGCGGTATACCTGCAGAGTGCAAAACGATTACGAAATATTGTACATAAAGCCTAGCATTCTCATGAACACAACTGTTATTACAGTTGGCCCAGGGACATGATAGTGGCACAAATGTTGAGACAAATAAATAATCAAAAACATTAAAGTCGATGATTCATAAAGTATATAAGAAAACTATATTCCACATTTTAATAAAAGTGATCAGTGGGTATATACCATAACTGTTACTGAGGGTACCTATACAAGTAGTCAACAGTCGCTTTGTGGATCGACAAGAATACGTCATCATGTATGGAAAGGTCTCCAAGATAATGCAAGTGTATGTTTAATTTGTATTGTTTCAAAGTTTAATTGTGAAGCAAAATCGATATCATAGAAAATTTGAATGTCATTCATGATTATTTATATTGTATGCATTTATTATTTTGACCATTGCAAAGTGGGATTGCAATAAATATTGTCGTCACAGTGGTAGTCGGTCGTAAGTAGTACCTTTAGTTATACCTTTCGTGTTGTTTGGTGGCATGACGACGACGAACCCACCATAAACGCGATCGTCGGACATGGCGTTCATGCACTTCCATCGGCCGATCTCGGACCTTCTCAGTGGTTTTGCGAATGACACTCCGCAATCGTGGTACGTGGCGCCGTGGTACGAGTACCGGGCAGTGCCTCTCCCATACGCCAGTGACAAGATCTTTGCGTCTCGCGGTAACGTAAGTCGGCAGTATTTTGACCGGAAGTGAGTGTTTCCGTCGTCGCCGTCTGCAGTGGCGGTACCGTTGCGGACGTTGCAGAACACTCGCACCTCGGTCGGCGTTTCGTCGCATCCGACTTCCATTACTGCGCCCTCTAGACATGAGGACGGCTGTATGTATAGTGACCAGAGAAAAAAAAACACAGACAGTTCGCAAAACACGTGGTCTCGGACGTGTTCGTGTATTTATTAAGGGTTAAAAATGACGTACAGTAAGGTTCACCAGGATTGGGAAGAGGGTATAAAGAGTAAGGTAAGCTATATAGAGCTATGGCTCCAATGTTGAATGCATTATATTTTTTTATTACGTAACCAAAAGCTGTTTAAAAAGTTTTTTGGGTGATTGTAATCTCGGCCCGGATTTTTCAGGTAAAAATGATTGTAATGTAAACTTGGTCCGAATAAAAATGATGATGATCATATCTCCTCAAATCTAATAATTGATAATTATCTTATAATATGTTTTAAATCAATTTAGCATTACCTAGAGGGCCCAACGAGGAGACGTTTTTCGTTATCCTCCAGAGAAAATTTCGTTTTATTTTAATTTTAGTACCTACTACCTATTAAATTCGTTATAGCAGAATTAAAGTATATAACTGTGTACAATACATAATTTAAGTTACAATGTTACAAATTATTTTCAGATCAAATAATGTCGTGGTTATTTTATTTTATCGGTGAAAATTAATGGGCCGAGCTTATAACAAAAAAGGTTATCGCGGGCCCAGTTGACATTTGCGCAGTTTTTTTTTTAGTGCAATATGTATGTAGTAATTACAGCTATAAATACACCTATAATATAGAGACTGTTACTTATATTTGAATTATATACGTTCTATTATAATATTATGGGGGTAGAAAATTCCAATTGACTATTTTTGATAGATAAAAAAAGTAGAATTCATAGTGTAGGTTATGGTGAGGTCAAAATTACCATGAAATAGTGAGAACAGTAAGCTAGAATAATGTATATTGGTCGAATTAAAATTGCAAACAAGTTGGTAATTCATATTTTATAACAAGCTGTGTTCATTGCTATTCAATGTATAAGTAGTAGGTATTATAGATACGCCTACTGGCTATTGATTATTTATCGATATCATACAGCTTATGAAACAAGATTTTATACGTAAGACGTCTGGTGACCTATGATGGTGCTCAACCAACAACGACAAGTAATGTATATCATATACTTAATGGTGGGAAGAGAAAATATTCCTCCGCTATTCATACAATCCCAAGCACGACAGATGGCCATGACGGAAAATGGTGGAGTCGGAGGGCAAGGAATCGGACGAGGAAAGGGAATAAAACCGGCGATGGTTACTGTTGCTGTTCACCTCGGTAAGCGTGCAGGCGGACGGTGTACTGAACTTCGGCCGCTGACTCGGCTGTGACCGACCAACAGGTCCACACGTCCTGGTGATGCGATCCGACCGACTTGACGTGCACCCAACACTGGCCCTTGTGCCTGGACACTTCGCCGGACGGGCCTGACATGCGGCAGTAGAAAGCTTTCGGTGGTCCGCACGTGACGTTCACCGCTGTACCAACGGGCACGCGGATCGTGCTCGACTTGGGCCATTGCTTCGCTGTAAACACACACAGGTACATGTACCGAATGCGTCTTTGACTAAATATTTTTTCAATATGATTTTTTTCTTTTTTCATTTCATTAAAATTATTTACAATCCATTGGATACAATCAATATCATAGTATAATGAACAAATTTGATTGTCCATAATGGTAATAATTAAGAGATTATCTTTTATGAGAAGGCATTCAGCAGCAGTGCGCCGGACCTGGTACTTTTTAATTATTATTGTTGTGTTTTTAAATTTTTAAATTGTAATGGGTAATAAGACGGAGGATAGCCGTTTGATTAATGGGTTACTGCAAGAGTTCAAGTCGGTATGAAATTTAAAGTAACATAATTTCGCTAATTGATTGAGGATAGGAATTTTTAGGTCTTTGTAAAAATTATTGTTTGTGAAGTATCGAGGAGAAGACGTTAATAGTCACTGGCAGATAGATTCAAAGTCTGGCTCGTTTTAGTGTTGGATGCTTTGTAGAGCCCCATAAATGAATACCGTATGCCAAAATTGGTCGAATTATGGACTTGTGTATTGCAAGTTTGCTGGATAGGGAGGACTAAATATTAATACTATAAATTAATATTGTAACTATATTGTACTATATTATCAACTGTCAAATTCAAATTTTATATTCAATGGGCGTGTTGTTGTGTTAAAATTGTTTGGTGTGTGGTGGCGGTTGGATGGTGTGGTAGTTAGAGGTGGAGGTAAGGAGTAGTTGTACAACGGTCCAATATCCATCCCCCTTGGTTTATTAATTTTTTTTTTATTTATTCAATAAGAGATTTGCCCAAAGTACAATAATAAGTAGGTATAAGTAAATTATACTCGCAAACCGCAAGTCAGCGAAAGTGAAAAGGAACTTGCAGGTATCTAGATTAACGTACAAACGAAGGGTGGACGTTAGCATGGCGTATCATGCTGTGAGTTGGATTGTTCAAACTATTTAATCAGTGGTGCGCATAGGGTTGGGAAAAGTGGTGATAGAGGGGGTCAGACGTGGAGGGACTCGAAAGTCGATGACTGTTGAGGAAAAGGAGCGCAGGTGCGTCGGCATAACCGTCGTTGTTTATTTTTGTCGTATAAAATGTATGATAAAGCAGTGAAAGTATATATTTTACTGGAATCATAGAATAGTGAACAATTCATATTTCGCCTTTCAAAAAAGCAAACCACGCCACTGTTTAGTAATGTAAGTATATAGGTACTATGCACGAAATGCATTAACGAATGGAATAATAAAAGAATATTATTTTTATCGTTCAATAAACCAGTGACTACTTATTTGATAGATGATATTTAATTATTGTAGGTACCATTATTGTGTTATTACATAAACATGTTTAACAACCATGTGATTTTTGGCTGTGGTTCAAAAGAGTAAGCAAATATCTTTAAAAATATATACGTTGTAAATAATATCGTGTTCATCATACCACGAATGTATTATTAAAGATTACCCTCGTCAATAATTGACCGAAGTCCAAACAGGCGAAGCCTAAAACGTTACGTTGCAACAGATTAATAGATTTGCATACATTTAGGACAGGTACCTGCAATAGTCTATCGTTTACGTATAAGGCGCATTATTATGTTATTATATTGATAATTGTAGTGATATTCAATGAGCAGAGTAAATTGTAAGAGTATAAAGGATTGAGGAGGATTCACTAGCTTGTTAGTTTTTTCTTTCAATTTGTTTGATTATGATATATATATATATTGTACATAGGCGAGCTTTACGGTTATTGTAGGTATCTACCTATAAAAAATGTATGATTCGATGGGTTTTAAAACGATATCGACGGAGAAAACTGTTGAACGGTCTCGCTGCAGTGTGCAGTTATTATGTTTTTGCTATCATATATTTATAGACGCGCTCGCGTTACATAATTCGATATAATATGACGTACAGGTATTGAGTTCTATAGAGCTGTAGATGGTAGGTCGCAAAAGCTATGATAATAATATACTCTGTATAAACATGACGTAGGTACGTGTAAGACGTTTAGCTTTTGATATATTATAATAATCTCTATACACGAATGAACGCAAACAATATCTCTGTGTCTCTGCACGGCCACCGAGCCACGTAATTGCTTTCAGCGTGACCCATAAATCATAATTAAAAATAAAATAAACCATCAACACTGTAATCATATTGTAACTAAAATATGTTTCAACAGTATACGAGTAGTAGCAGCGAGAACGTTTGTTAGTGATACCTCTATTATACCACTACCAATATAATATGCTATACCACTCACGCACGTTATAATATAGGGCATATAGGTATTGGTATTTAGCGGTGGATTTTTTTTTATATAACACTTAGGTACTTAGATAATAAACACTTATGTATTTACCGAAAATAATAATATGAATAAAATAAAATTGTATGTATGTATATATATATATATATATATATATATATTTGGTCCGGTAATGCGTGCTTTGATTTTCGACTCTGTTTTACTCTAAAAATGTAGTCTGGCCATCGACACTGTGTGAAGAGTATAGACTTAAACTACAAACGACTTATATTTTCTTTGATTTTATGTGGTTTAAGAACAAAAGATCACCTCATTAAGCGGGCATAGGCGCGATTACCTAATGCGTCGCACTATATACATATTGCAAACGCGTTCATCAGATTTGCCGAGCACTCGAAAATCTATTGCATAATAACTACCCACTGGTACTAATTGACAAACAGGTATTATTTAATCAATAGGTTTGTACTATACCGCGCGTGTCCACGAAAACAGAGTGTGCACAGAAATAATTATTGCGCGTGCGCGAAATACTGGAATACTGAAAAAGTCATAAGTCATAGGAATTTATGATCAAACATAGCGTATTATAGTCTCGTGTCCCTTAAACAGAATTCAAAAATGTGCACGGGGTTCTGCTGAGTAATATGAGTACGACCGTGTCACAAAGAGCGAACCTATTCTGTTTTTGCCGACAAACGGCGTGTGTCATATGGAATTTTGAGAGTTAATCAAACAGTCGCGAAGGTATGGTTGTAATATTCAATATTGTGCACGTACACCTGTTGACTAAATAAAAACTGTCGGCGGCATTATAGCATTGCGTTTTGTACTGCGTTGGCTCACTCTATCTGAGCGAGTGCTTTTCACCTTTTGTGCATAATAATGCCTTTACACTTTACTCGTATACGCCGCCTTTGCAGCGGATAATCCATTTTCGTTTGAACGCAGTCCGTAATGATGTCTATACGTACCTACCTACAGTATAAGCACTGCAGTATAGGTATATAGGATTGGCCTTTGCACGATCGTTTTCACATTTAACCATCCCGGGAATATTACCCACGCTCTTACACTGCAAGTTACAGTCTAAGTACCTGATTCTGAGTCGAAAACCAAATAACGCGAAGAATTTAAATAGGAATTCGAACGATTTGAACTATATTTACCTTTGTGCACTATAAGGATATAATAGATACACCCCTAGCGATACAGTACAGGGGAGTGAATACTGGGTGATCCGTTTAACGGAAGTCTATATACCAATCATTTCGGGAAACAAGGAATAGTTTTTGAAAAGATTTCTTTTACGTATACCTTGAAGACGTTACAAATCGACGTTTTTGGAAAAAAATTTTATTTTTACCACTATCGTTTTCTTTTAAGTTTTCACGCTTTTGAATGACAACACATACATCTTCAACCATCGTTTTACGGGGTGCCCTTATTTAACCCACCCATGCACTCCGTGCATATAAAATTTAAATACTAATGACCATAATGCGCTGCAATAACTTATGATATTCACAAACTATAAACTCATAGAAAATTTCTTTTTTTTTTTAAATATCGAAGTATGCGAGTACTCAAAAAATAATTCTGCTTAAAAAAAACGAATTAAAATTAATGCATGTTGTAATTTAAAATCTTAAAAAAATGATGAAAAGTAGTATAAAATATAATTATTTAGATGAACGCTGCAAAAAACCTTTTATTGCGGAGACTCCGTGATATTTTCAAAATAGCGAGGATTTGTGTGTAGTTACGGACTTCCCGTTTTTTAACGATTAAATTCATGTAAAAACAATATTTTTAAAAACCTAAATAATATAAGCTATTGTAATAATGAGTGTCTTAAGTTAAATTGATCAGTCGGCATTTTATATTTTCTTGTTAAACTTTTTCTAAGATCTTGATTAAATTAAATTTATATAGGTTCATAAATATTTGCAAAAACAACGATTTGCATAATATAGTTTATAGACGCTTATATTGTACAGCATAAGACAGGTCGGTTCTCGTTTGAAAAAAAGAAGTTTGTATCAACGCAGCAGACTCTTCTTAAATGGTATAAAAAATCTAAATAATTATTGAACAATATATAATAATAATATAATATTATATCTAATATACAATCTGTTAACTAAACCAAGAGGCAAAAAATGGTAAATAATAAAAGTTTCGTATGAATAATTTATGAAAGAAGTTAACGGCACCTCATGAAGAATACTTAAAATAGTTAAAAATCAAAAAAATTTGAATTTGAATAATTGTATTATTATGAATGAGCACGGTTGGCGAATAATATAGGTATTTCCTAATAATTTATTTATATAGGTACCGTTATAGCTACCTACGCGAAAACTTGACTGTCATTAATTATTATGGTTTAATGCATATTTGGTAGATTCAAATCAACTTGCTTCAAATAATAATTAACAATGCGCAGTGCGCGGTGCTCACTGCTGCTTTCCGCTGCCATCGACAACGACGCGAGTATAGTTATAGTTTTCCGATGAAAAAGTGTTTTGTCGTTTAATTTTCTCAAAATAAATTTCATAATCAAATAAATATAAATATAATTACAACAATATCAGAGGCCTTTTATAATAGGTGTATCATAATCACAGAAAACAGAACGGCGTAACACGCACGCCGCGATCGATATCGCTATTACGGTCGGTATAAATACCATTAATTCGTTCCATCGGACACCCTATTTC